TCTCTCTCTCACTCTTTCCCTATCTCTCCCTCCCTCTGTCCTAGAAACGATGCTTTCGTCCTCCGTTTATACCTGGGCATTGTGTCTGGCGATGTGGCACAGTGCCTTGTATCTTGAGAAGCTTTTAAGGGGGGTCTTCGGCAATAGGTTGGCCTCTGGCAAAGGGCGGGGGCTGCTGTGGAAATTGGAGGAGCGCTGCCAAGCCTGGGCAAACAAGCCTTTGGGTTAAGAGGGTTTGAAAACCATCCTTCTCCCACCCTCCGTCCAATCTTTTACCTCCGGTCCCCAAACTGCTCTTGACTTACCAAGCTCAGGAGTGGGCAAAACGTATGGGATTCATTGAAGGCTTCAGGGAACTTCCGTTACTCTGAGGATTAGAAATCGAGGAATTGGGAGCAGGCGGTGGGGGGAGGAGGAAGACTGGGCAGGAAGACCAGGAGGGACAAGAGGCAACTCGGACCCCCAGGTGCAATGCAAAGCCGCCCGTTTTGTCCACCTGATCTTGGCCTGCTCTTCTTCACTAGAGCAGGTCCTTTAAAAGTCTGAGTTTGCCTAGAAGTGGCTTCCTTCGAATCGCAGCAGGAGCCTGGAGAGTCTTCAGCTCTTCCCCAAAAAATGACTCTGGAGCAGACAAGGACCAATGAGGTCATCATTCAACTTGTCCGAAACTTAGCATGAATCTTTTCTCTAGATCCCAGAGAGCAAATCGTGGGCCGTTGCCTGGAAAATTTAGCTACTCTGAGGCTCTGTTCACATTGCATCGTCTCTGAGGTCGGCAAAACCTGGTAGCTTTGTGCGCACAGTACCCAGATTAAAATTACCTTTGATTAGGGTATTTTTTTGGGGGGGGGGCAGTTCAGCCTGTTCTGCAAACCCGGCCTGTTGGATGAGTGCATGGCTCACGGTGTTGTGGTTTGCCGGCAGCTGGTGCAGACGGCAGCAGAATCAGACAGTGGGGAAGAATGGGGACCAGTCTGGGAGTCTGGAGAGGACTCGGACGAGGGTCCGGCATCCGATGCAGAGATGGGGCCAGGACCATCTGGGAGTGGGGTGCTGCCACCAGAGCTTTTGGAGTCTGGCAGCAAGTGAGGCAGAGGAACAGCGGGATCCTGTTCCCAGTGCGCGTGTGCACAGAGCTGCTAGAAGGCGAGACCAGCTGAAACAAAAGGGGTGACTCGGGAGTAAGGCTGGGAGGTGATTGCCCCTCCCCTAAGAGATAAAGGACAGGCAAAGATGACAAAACCTTTGCAGGAAGCAAAGTCGTTCATTCGGTTCAGACTCCTTCTTGGAGCTCTTTGTACTTCGGTTGGTTTTCTTTCTAGTTCACTTGAACACTTCTGTTATTGACAGCACTTCACAGGAAAGCAAGGTGGGTGCTTATCTCGAGGGACTGTTTTGAGATTCAGTACTGGCTGGGAATGAAAATAATTCCCAGCGTTGCAATAACACAAGACTTGTTTTTTAAAATAAGCGTGTGTGTAATTACGGTCTCGGAAGCCTTGGCCACAACACATGGCAAGTACAAAGCCAGAGGGCCCAGGAGCCAAGCTAGGCCGAGCCAGCCAGCCCTTTTCATCTCTCATCCTTTCTCATCCTTTGTGGTCCCCTCGGTGGATGCCATCTTCTCCGTTGATCCTGATGGTTGGTTATCGGTGTTTTTAATACCAATACAGGAAGGTTTGAAAAAAAAAAGAGGGGAGGCAGAAATAATAATCTTGTTTTTGATTTTTCCTAGGGTGAAATTGGCCCGCCTGGTCCACGGGGCGAGGATGGGCCGGAAGGCCCCAAAGGCCGTGGCGGCCCCAATGGAGAACCAGGCCCGATAGGTCCACCTGGAGAAAAGGTTGGTGTTCCTGACGCTCTCCATCCTTCCTCCACCTCAACGCCTCATCCAGCTTTCCCTTAGCTGTGGAATGTGGTCTCCTCTAGAGAAATCTTGCTCGGGTTTGGGTTACTGGCTCTGGATCCATCTGCAGGCTTGGCCCAGTGCAAGGATGATGCAAATGGAAGCTTGCTTGGTGACACCATCCCTCGTGGCTTTAAGGTGGAAACGTAATCCCAGATCCGGAAGGTCCCTCGGGATTTTAGGGATGAATGGATATTCCTTTCAGCCATTTCTGTTTGCTAAATCATGCCATTAAATTTAGAATAGAATAGAAATAGAAATAGGATAGGATAGGATAATAGAATAGTAGAATAGAGATAGGATAGAATAGAGATAGGATAGGGATAGGATAGGATAATAAAATAGAAGAGTAGTGCAGGATAGGATAGGATAATAGAATAGAAGAGTAGTGCAGGATAGGATAGGATAATAGAATAGAACAAGGGATAGAATAAGGGATAGAATTAGAATAGGATAGGATAGAATAGAATAGAATAAGGGATAGAATAGAATAAACAGAATAGGAATAGGAATAGAATAGAATAGAAATAGGATAGGGTAATAGAATAGTAGAATAGAGATAGGATAGAATAGAGATAGGAGAGGGATAGGATAGGATAATAAAACAGAAGGGTAGTGCAGGATAGGATAGGATAGGATAATAGAATAGAATAAGGGATAGAATAAGGGATAGAATAGAATAGAATAGAATAAGGGATAGAATAGAATAAACAGAATAGGAATAGGAATAGAATAATTAGAATAGAATAGAAAATAGAATAGAATAGAATAGAAAATAGAATAGAAAGAAATAGAATAGAATTCTTTATTGGCCAAGTGTGATTGGACACACAAGGAATTTATCGTTGGTGCAGGAACTCTCAGGGTACATAAAAACGATAAGTAATAAAGCGTAAACGTAGCGATGACTCTTCAGAAACAACGCCCTGCTCTTTCTCCCTCTTCCTTCTCTTCCATCCTCATCCTCACCCTCCCTCCTCTTCCTCCGTTTGTTTTCACAGGGGAAGCTTGGCATTCCTGGTCTGCCCGGATACCCTGGGAGACTCGGCCCCAAGGTAACGTTTGCCCTTTTTGTAAACAGATTTTCCATTTCAGTCTGCGAGTTAGAACCCCGTGAGTCGCCGGTCGAGTTTACCGAGACTCTGTGCCACCCGCCGGGAGGAATGGGAAGGCGTTGGGTGCTTTTGCCGTGGGAAGTGGGCCAGGGAGGCCAAGATTCAGGGGCAAGGCAGATTGGTCTGTGCTCCAGGAGAGGCGGCGTCCCTGTCCATCGTTATTCTGGGAGGCTCCCGGTCTCTCTGCCTCTCCGAGAAGGAAGCGGCGATTGTTTCTTAGTGAGCAGCAACTTCTGATCTGCAATTTGAATTTTTTGAGGAGGGGGGGGAATTGCACTCCGAGTTACTGTTAGTCATTTAAAAGAACTAAAAAGATTTTCGTCTCCTTTGCTGAGCACAAAAGAGGTTTTGCTCCAAGGACAGTCAGCTAGACCCCAGTTTGTGGAAACCTTAAACCCCACTGGTGGGTAAAAGGCCCCATCATCCGCCTAGGGACTGACCCTGCAACCCCTGACCCCCAGCCCTTGTTCAGCAGCATGGGCATTGGTCTGTGCCCAGGCACATGGGCAGCGTTCTTGCGTTCCTTTGCCGGTTTCTCAGCTGCTCTCACCATTCCCTCTGGGTTAGCCTGTCAAAAAGGGACGGCCCAGAACTGACAGCCAATAATCTCCCCCCGTCAACTCATAAAAACATATTGTAGACACGTTTTATAGTTGTCAACAGAAAGAAAGCTGGGGGGAGCGTTTCAAAGAGCAGGCGGCAGTGTGGAATCGAAAGGACATTCCATTCATATTTTCTTCAGAGACTGATTAGATGACTGAAGCTTCTGCTGCGCAAAAATCCAATTGGAGAGCATGATTGATGACTCTTGACTATGGGCGTGTTTCATTGGATGATACACCCAGAGGGGGTGGGGGAAAAGCAGGATCAAGGGTGACAGTGAATTACGTATCTCTAGAGTTGGCCACGCCCAGGCAAATGCTGGCATGTTAACTTCTAATAAATCCTTTTTAGTTTTGGGAGTGTGGCTCGAGGCTCATGATTTAATTGGAGTAACTGCCGGAATCCTGACACCCCCTCCCCGCCAATCCCCCCCCCCAAGGTAGTCCTGCAATCAGTGCAAAGGAGGCCACGTTAGGCATGGCGCTCCAGTCCAATGGTGGGCTGCTGCCAGTTCAGACCAGCTCACCTGCACAGGTAGTTCTGGCCACTGGCTGGGCCCGCCCCTGTGCTATCCCATCCTATATATCTGGCTTGCTCGCCTCACCCCTGCAGCCCAGCTGATTTTCGCACCTTGCCTGCCCTATTCACCATAGTTGCCGCCCGCAGGAAATCCCTGTGTTTTTGCAGCCGTGCACGAAGACGGCGTGCGCATGCATGCTCCCCTTTCCGGTTCTGCACTAGGCGAACTGGTTGTTACAGTACGTGAAGTCCAGTCAGAGGGGCTCTTCCCTTGACAGCATCACCATTGGACAGGAAGGTAAGCAGAAGATGCAACTGTGGCTCCCAAATTAGGAGACCCTGATCCAGCTCAATTTAATTCTCTCCCCACACTCTCCTGGAAGGGAAATATAGGGAAACCCCTAGGAAACCCAAGGCTGCCCCTTTGAGGGGGTTGCCACAGAAACCGCAGACCGTGTTCTTTGGCACTGCCAGTACTACAGTAGTTTATGAGCTGTGATGGCGCAGTGGTCAGAATGCAGTCCTGCAGGCCACTTCTGCTGACTGCTGGCTGCAGTTCAGCAGTTCGAATCTCACCAGGCTTCCAGGTTGACTCGGCCTCTCATCCTTCCGAGGTGGGTAAAAAGAGGACCCAGATTGTTGGAGGAAAGAGGCTGACTCAGTAAACCGCTTAGAGGGGGCTGTGAAGCGGTATATAAGTCTAAGGGCTGTTGCTATTTTCCTGCTTCTCAGTTTGCCACACTGTATATGAGGGAGGCAGGAAGGAGGTCAGAACTCATTTCCAGACACAACACCAATCTTTCTCATGGGAACCAAGGTCATCCCCGCCTAAGAAGCCCGCCAACTGACTTTATTGGACAATGTGACTGGTGACACTTAAGGAGGGGGACATATGCTATTTTGATTATAATTATTATTAATTAATTATATTTTTAGAGTAGGTTTTGCACTTAGGTGAGCCGATATGATGTACCCAATAAAGAAGTCCTTTAAGGAAGAATCCATCCTTGGAGTTCTGATTTGCTTGGGCTCATTAGTCGGAACTTTGACCGGAATTTAATGTTGCTCCATTTATGGGATGTACTTTTATTACTCAATGACTGAATTCATGTTTCTGTCCACCTGTCTGTCTGTCTGGCAGCTGGGTGGGAGAGGCAGGGTAAGTGTTTTCCCCAGAGCCCTTCAGCCCCCTACCAGGCCCTGAGGGCTTCGGAGGGGTTGCCTTTCCCGTAGCTTCTGTGCTCTTTTTAAGGAAGGAGGGAAATGTTTTCCCAAATACGTGGCATAGATGGGCAAGAGGTGGCATTGGACTCTGAGGTGGGTCATCGAGCATCGTGCAACCTCTCTTAGATACCAGGCTAAACGTGCCCATTTTAAAGCTTCCCTTTGGAGATGCTTCACTCAAGCCAGAATCTCTGAGTTCACCCATGTAGAAAAATTGAGGAAGGCGTCATCTCAGTAAGAAGATGTGCTGGTGTGAAGCAGGTTCACCAGCCAGAGGCTTCAGGGGATGAAAGAGCGAAACAACCACCCTGGGCAGTCCTGACCTTCTCCGGACAGAGTCCTTTGCTGCCCGTATCATCCCTCCCTGCCCTGGACTTCCATTGCCTGGCGCGGGGGAGCCCTCCCTTGGTACCCAACCATCCTGGTGCCAAAGTTATAGCAAGGCGAACCCTTCTGCCTCACCGATTCTCCATACATGGCTGTTAGGCCGTTCATTGTGGGAAATTGCTAGCAAGGCAGATCTATAACGTAAGGGCCCCGTTTGCATGATGAGCTGCTTCATGGGAGCGAGTGTCGTGAGCCTCGGTGGCCCAGTGGTGAGAGTGCAGCACTGCAAGCTACTCCTACTGCAGTTTGGCAGATCGAATCCCACCAGGCTCCAGGTTGACTGAGCCTTCCATCCTTCTGAGGTGGGTAAAATGGGGAGCCAGATTGTTGGGGGCAAGAGGCTGGCTCTGATATGTTTTGAGAGGGCTGGAAAGCACTATAAAGTGGTATATTAGTCTAAGGGCTATTGCTATTTTCTCTTCCTAAGTAGAAGAGAGGAAGAACTCCATTGACTAAGGTGTCAGGATTCCAGCAGTTACCTTGATTAAATCATGAGTCTCGAGCCAAACTTCCAAAACTCGAAAAGGATTTATTGGGAGTTAACATGTCCGGCACTGCCTGGGTGTAGCCGACTCTGAGACACATCATTCATTGTCACCCTTGACCCTGGTTTTCCCCCATTCCCTGGGTGTAACATAATTCATATTCTCCAATGAGACACATCCATAGCCCAGAGTCATCAATCATGTTCTCCAGTTAGATATTT